GAAAATTCCCGATAGTAGCATTTCGTTTCTCTGATATTTCACAGACATAGCCGAAATTTCTGAAGTTAGTATTTCGTTTTCTAGGCATATTGGGATAACGATAGAAGTGGTCATATTCTCGGAAACCGAAATTATTCTTTTCTGAAAATCGAATTTCCATTCTATCTCGCAAATTTTTTTTTGAAAACCGAAATCTTGCGGAGCCTACCAACGTTCGGTAGGCATAGTCAGAGGTTGCCATATTCTCAGAAACTGCATTTCGTTCTTTCTGAAAATCGTATCTTTACTCTATTTCGCAAATTTTTTTCAAAGATCGCATTTTAGTGAAAGCCGAAACTTTGCGGGACCCAGCCTAGATCTCGTTCATAATACTCTTCTGACATATCCTACTCATCATAGATCGACAGATATATACCCCTCGTTTGTTGTCCTCTTCTCTCTCTCTGCCTACGGTTTACTGGGCAGTTCTGTTTGTGACGATATATACAAAAAAAAAAAAGAAAAGGAAGTAGTCCTCTTTTATTTTTTTATTTTATTTTATCTGTTGATTAGGGCCGGAGGAAAGTATTGTTGGGTTGGTTTCCTACCTGCGTGTTACCTCCCACCCACCCTTTGCATACATTTTCCGGGTTGGTACAGTAACACGTCAACAGTGCCACATCAACAATGACACGTCAACAGTGCCACGTCAGACACAGTGCCACGTAAGCAGTGCCACATCAGACACAGTGCCACGTCAGCAGTGCACGTCAGACATAGTGCCACGTCAGCAGTGCCACGTCAGACACAGTGCCACGTCAGCAGTGCCCCGCCACCATGACGGGCGCAGCTCTGGGCATGTCAGGCCAACTGGCCAATGAGTCCATTGCCGACTACAAAAAGCGCTTCCAGGCTCAGCTCGCTGCAATCGAGGCTGAGGAACAACGCCAGCTGGCAGTCAAGGCTGCCCAGCTACAGGCTGAAGAAGTGGCAACGGCAGAGAAGCTGCGGCTACAGGCCGAAGCAGACGCAGATACCCAGGCTCGCCGCAACGAAGCCCAGGATCTGCTGCTGCGGCATGAAGCCAACAGCATCGACAGACTCAAGTTCTGGCACTTTGAACCGAACGGCGACGAACCAACACCGGAAGAGAAGCATAAGGAGTTCATGGCCAAGCTCGTGACCAGGCTGGTTTACATATGTAACCACCTGCAGTCCGAGCTGGCAAACCTTCAGTGGGCTGTGCGGAACCATAAGACTCAGCATGAGGATGCCACACGGGCACTGGACGCCCGTGTACTGGACCTGGAACAGGCTGTACCAGGACCAGTTGCTGGGGCTTCCAGCAGTGCATCCTCTAGCCGCCAACTGGAGGAACGCGTTGACCACGTAGTGGCAATGCTAGGAGACATAAGTGCCTTCACAGAGCCGGCCACCATCAGCCAGCGGTTCGAGTTGCTGGACACTAAGATCAGTCAGCAACAGCAGACCGACCACAGCCACAAYAACAGCTTGGCAAGGCCATACAAGATGCCGACGTTCCGGATCGAGAAATTTGATGACTACACACATCAAGACCCGGTCGTCTGGTGGCAAGGATTTACAACGGAGTTGGGGATCCACGAGGTCCCTGACCATCTGTTCATCAGTGCTCTGTTCATCAACACCAAGGGAGGATGTCAGATTTGGCTCAGCCACATGGCAACCATCCACGGCGTTCAAGTTTCAGACCTACACAAGAAGGTCTCCTGGGCGGATATGGCAAAGGAATGGAAGAAGCGGTTCATAGTGGATGACGCACCCGCGCTTGCCATCAACCGCATCTTCGCGATGGCTCAAGGGAGCACACCGACACGTGACTGGCTCACGGATTGGCAGAAGATCGTGGCCACGCCGGATCTGGACTTGCCATTTCCGCATCTGCGCCGTGAGTTCTACAACAGGTCATGCGCCGCTCTGAGCCTCGCACTTGGTGATCGCGAGCAGTACCACACTTTCGCAGAGATCATCAACAAGGCGAGAGAGATCATCAAGACCAACAGGTCAGCTGCACACGAGAAATCAACATGGCAGCCGACCTATGTGGAGAAGGCACGAACTGRTCCGCGACAGCAGCACTTCGCTGCAGTCCAGCAGGACAGTGGAGATAACCCAGCAGCCACTCCARCATCAAGTGACGGAGATCAGGTGGCTGCTGTCCAGCCGCGAAGCAACAACAAGTCCCGCAACAATGGGAAGGCGAAATCCGCATCGCAGGCCGGAAATGGACAGCCAGTACAAGTTCCGTGGGTCAAGTTCGGCTTGACCGAGGCGGAGTACAAAGTCCACGGCCGCTATGGCAGCTGCTATTGGTGCAACAGCACCAAGCACAAGACCTCCCTGTGCCAGGATCAGGGCAAGGAGGATGTGCGACCCCGCCTCA